TTACATTATCATTAATATTAATATTACCATCATCTCCATCATTATTATAACTATCATCATCATTATTATTACCATCATCATCATCATCATCATCATCCCCATCATTATTATTACCATCATCATTATTATTGTTATTACCATCATCTCCATCATTATTATTACTATCATCATCATTATTATTACCATCATCATCACCATCATTATTATCATCATTATCACCATCATTATTACTAGTATCATCATCATCATCATCACTACTGTTATTACTACCATCATCATCATCACCATCATTATCATTACCATCATCATCATCATTATTATTTGTATCATCATCTTCATCATCACCACCGTTACTATTACCATCATTATCAGCTACATTGATAAAACTGAGTAAAGCGATTGTGATGTGACTATGAAGTGATTTCTGATCTTTACCTTCTCCCCTTTGAGACCAGAGTCTCCAGGTTCCCCAGGAAGTCCTACATCACCCTGCGGAGGAGAATGTAGAAGGGACTGTGTTAACTGTCTTTCTGTAACAACAGTGTCACTTTGTCTTTTCAAACATTAACATTCCATGAAGATGTGATTTTACATCATCTTTACATTTTACAATTTGAGTTGTGTGGCGCTTTGGCCCAGAGGCAATGTCTCTGTCATTGGTGTGGATCCCTGGGGTTCACCTCCTGGGCAGTGGACTGAAAGTTCACAACGGGGTTGGTACGGTGCAGTGTGATTTGGGTGGCGGTCGTGGAGACTGCTGCCCCCGCGACGAAATAAGCAGATAAAAATGGATGGACGGATGTAATCTGAGTTGTTGATCCAATCCACTGATAAGGAGATCACCCACAAATACAGTACATTTAATAAGCTTGCGTTTAACTTTTGTTGGTGTTTTGTTGTTTAGTTCCAGAGTAGAGATGTTTACTTGATGTTCCTCTCAGGATGTCTGGGAAATCTCTGTTTCATTATCTGTGTAATTAATGTCTGACAAACTGAGTGAATTACGAGCACAAGCGCATTGTCAGGAAAATGTAATTTCACAGTTTATGTCACCGTGATGGTGATTCAACATTTTTCTAGTGATGCCAACATTACAGGATAATAACTGTAATTAAACCAATAAATACATCTAAGCACCATCTGTAGACCATAAAACCACAGACTGTGGACGGTCTGTTAGATGTGGTCACAGTGATGTAATCAGGTCTTTAAATTCTTCAGTGTTTTAGAACATTTTGGAGGTTCCTGTCGAGCTCGTCAGTCATTTCTAAGACACATCTCAACAATGGTCAACATCTGTGAATTGTTTAGGTTGAAGAAGAGAAAAAAAATTCTAACCTCCACTCCAGCTTCTCCGGGTGGTCCCTGTGAGCCTTTCAGACCCTCAGGTCCTCTTTCTCCAAGAGGCCCTAGAGGACCAGGTTTCCCATGAGGCCCTGGGTCACCCTGTGAAAACATATTTTCTGTGACTAGGAAAGCGAGTAATGTTGAAGAACTGGACCTGTGTTTTGAAGGTGTTTTGTAGAAAACCTACTGTATCTAACAGTGGAGACAACAAAACAATGACTTAATGTCACCTACCAAATCTTCAACACCTCACTGACCTGGTCTCCTTTCTGTCCTGGTGGACCCTCCAATCCGGACAGGCCAGGTAGACCCTAATGAGACAAAGGTGACAACAAATCACCAATTGATGGCATCAGACTGAGTCCAGAACCCTGTGACAGCAGTCAACAGGCCTGACACTGAGTCCATTGGTCTTGTTTCAAACTAAATGATACTGTTTGACTGACCCGTTGTCCATCTTGTCCTGTAGGTCCAGGTTCACCTGTTGGACCAGGGGGTCCCTGAAAAATAAACGAGTTAATATAGTCTATGTAGTCATGCATTTCAGCAGACTATTGACCAATGACTGTTTACCTTGTCTACTCCTTTCCCTGGTTCCCCGGGTAACCCTTCAGCTCCCTGTGGTCCCTGAGGAGATCCACCAAAGAAACATTCATTACATACTGTGCATTAAGATTGTAATGTGATGTGCAAATGGCATGCCTTTGTATTAGATAAAACTAGGAATATATCCATCTATATCATGAGTTTGATGTAGGTACCCACT